TTGCGGATCTGATATACACTAAATCCAAAAATATTATTATTGTGAGAAATTTAGGTCATGTGGTTTCAGTCATGTTTTTTTTAACTCCTGCCAACTGGCTCAACTGGTGATTTGTTTGATTTCTTTATTAATTAACTGATTGTATTTTTAGATTCAAAACTACGTTATATGTGTATTTAAATAAATAAAGTAACTTAACTGAGAATAGGCCCACATATTTCATACATGATCTTTGTTTGTAGAGTGTACAGTTGTTGATCTTCTTAAATCTTGTCCAGTGTTCTGACGTGTGTTTTGGCATAAATATCTCAATATTTAGACTACACCAACGGTACAACATATCCCTTCCCTAACCTTGAGTCACATTTCAGTTATGTTTGTATGATTAACTCACTTTCTGTTTTCCTCTTTTTGCCCCGACCCACAGGAACCTGTCCTTCATCCAGGTCATCAATGTCGGCTGTCGTTTCCTGGTCAACAGGGTGCAGGACTACATCCAAAGTAAAATCGTGTACTACCTCATGAACATCCACGTACACTCCCACTCCATCTACCTCTGTCGGCACGGAGAGAGCCAACACAATGAAGAGAGACGCATCGGGGGAGACTCTGAGCTGTCAGAGAGAGGGAGACAGGTGCTTGAACAAATCCTATCACTCATACTTTTCTAAACTTTACAAAGATAGTAGCACGTCCAAAAACCGGAAAGGGATAATTCAACATTTTGGCAAATACACTTATCTGATACCACTCTCATAGCTGTCCTTTACACCGCATCCCATTTCCCTTTTTTGAAACAATCTTAATTAACATTCTCTAAACTGTAAGTGCAATTGTCACAACTGTTTCATGGGATGTCACAACTCTGTTGCATGTCTGCAAAACATGCAACTCATCCAAAACATTTCATTGCTTCTAAACCTAGTTATTGTGACAGTAAGTTGGCCACCATAATGAAAAGCTGTTAAGTTATCGTGTGAGCCTATTTTTCACCATGGCAGTCAACCCTGTTTCTTCTATTTAAATCTCTGTTTAGTTCTTTTTTCTTGACACTGGCTTACTGTGAAATACAACAATGACAGTTTTGTTTAGCTAAACGCTGTTGTATATCGCACTGAGCTTTTTAGTCTCAGATTTCAACAGTAGCTAAAAGTTTACTGGGGAAGGTGAATACTGTATAATACAATAGTACACAGGAAAAAGGATATGTACATTTGTATGTATACAGTATATTTATTTGTTTAGCAATGTGTTATGTGTACTGTAAAACAGGAAATTCCCCTTTGATCTTTCATGCAAAGTCATATATCAAATTTGCCACAAAATGACACCATGCCAGAAAAATCCCCACAAAAACAGCGGTTCAGTAAAAAATAAGTAATAAGTTATACCTGCCTTGCACACTTGCCACAACGTGATTTTTTTTTTTTTTAATGAATTAGAAATTCAAATCTGTTGTGAACAACAAACCTTAATTGTTTATAAATTAGAACAAATCGCTCTCAGCCAAAACGAATGAGAAAAACTATAAATGACAAGCTCCAGCCAGCAGCTTAGCTTAGCTTGGCATAAAGACTGAGAACAGTGGGAACAGCTGGTCTGGCTCTTCTTTTTTCTTTTTTCTTTTTTCTTTTTCATTTTTACAGAATAAAACAAAAGAGGTATAATATGTTAATTACCTGGCCATTCCCCCATGGCTGGCTGCTGTCTATAGCTTCATTTTTAATGGACAGAAATGAGAGTGGTATCAATCTTCTCATATAGTTATCTGCCTAAGAAAGAAAGAAAATAAGCCACAATGTCTAGCACAAACTAGTGCTTTAATGTAATGTACAGTGCGACTTAACAAGCTTTTACGGATTGAAATTAGCTTGTGAAATCTACAACAAAGTTTCTAGCATTAATCCAGTTAGATGGCGGGAATAAAATCTAGACAACAGAAGATATGAGATATAAGAAGAATTATTTCAGTTCATCATAACTTCTGTTCTTTATTCAGGTGTCAGAGCTAAAGTCTCTTTATGTTCTCTCTGTCAGTTTGCAGCAGAACTGAAGGGTTTTGTGGAAGAGCACCGTCTGTCAGACCTGAAAGTTTGGACCAGCCAGCTGAGACGCACCATTCAGACTGCAGAGGAGCTGGGAGTTCCCTACGAGCAGTGGAAGATCTTAAATGAAATAGATGCTGTATGTACTCTGATATATCACAGAAGAGACACACATGCACAGTGAAGGCCTGTCTTAAGTTTTGAGTGTTTTTATTACTCTATGTTTCAGGGAGTGTGTGAAGAGATGACCTATAAGATGATTGAGGAAAAATACCCAGAGGAGTTTGCCATGAGGGACCAGGACAAATACCATTATCGCTACCCTGGAGGAGAGGTAAAAGCTTTCCCTTTCCTCCAAAGTGATGTTTGACCCTTCATGTATTACTGATTGATTCAGTCAGCAGTCTGACATGTGCTGACAGATCGGGGTCTTGATGATTTTGGCCATTATGGTTTTTTTCTTTCATAATAAACAGAAAAATCTACAAAAACTGAATCAAACAGCACAAAACCAAATTCTGCATCATTTGATTTTATGTTCCTTTGCTTTTCTCGGTAGTCCTACCAGGACCTGGTTCAGCGCCTTGAGCCAGTTATCATGGAGCTGGAACGACAGGGCAACGTGTTGGTCATCTGTCATCAGGCCGTCATGCGCTGTTTGCTCGCCTATTTCCTGGACAAAAGTGCAGGTTAACAAACAGAAACATGATCCATGCGTAAAGACATATTTTCTGTATACTGTTGAGTAACTGCTCACAGCTGTTTTTTTATCCTTTATCTTAAACTTAATATAATAATTATACTCAAGTGGTACGTCTTTAACAGTGCTTTAACAATTAATTTTAACGATTAATTCAAGGCCATATTGTTCCCCTGAGTGCTGAAAAACAGTGTCAAGTTGCAGCTAAACTAAATGTTCCTGAGAGGGCCGATAAAAACGCACAGGAGAGATATTCAGTACCACGTGAAGAATGATTATATCAAGTTTAAATCCGCAATGAGTTAGAAAAGCTTCTGCAGTTGCAATACAAAGCTAAATAAACATAAAATGCTCCACATGAGTTAGCAGATGTAAAGTAAAAGACTATTGGAAAAGTGCAGCTTGAGTGGGAGAGTATTTTCCAAACCAATCCTTTGATGACAAAACAAGTATAAGGGCTCTGTTTTTTTGTTGATGTGTGGAGAATATCACGTACACAACACTACAACATTTAGGTGTTTCTGTGACCTTGAAATGTGCTTTAGTGTTTGTTTTTTTTTTAAGTTATTTTTTTGGCCTTTTATTGCCTTTATTGGATAGTGAAAGTTGAAGATAGACAGGAAAGGTGGGTAGAGAGAGCGGATGACACGCAGCAAAGGGC